ATTTCTCAAAATAAAATGCAGCTGAGTACTGCAAAGTGTGGAAGCCGGAGTTAGAAAGCATACCAGAAGTGACTAGTAAACCGCAAGAGCCTTTGATTGGATTGTAGGATGGCCAGTGTTGCAAGAGAGTGTTAAGATATTTATAAGGACAATTCAGCATGTCTTCGGTTCACTTCAAATGGAAGAACAAGATATAGGATACTCACTACTCAGATGTCGATTGGGCTTGAGCCATAGAAGATAGAAAATCTTGGTGGTGTTTTGTATCTTTCTGGAGAAAATCATGTAGTCTGGAGCTCAGGAAGCAAAGGTGTGTGCTAATCTAGCACATAGACCGTGCCTCGGTTCAAACAGCCCCAAAAGTTGCTTGGATCAATTCCCTCTCAGTGAACTCATTCTGAACCTAAATGAAGCTCCAATTGTTTGGTGTGAATCAAGCAGTAGCATCACTTGCTTTGCATAATTCAATCCTATCCTACGTGGAAAAACCAAACAAAGAGAAATAGATGTCCATTCTTTTGTGAAAGATACCTAAAGAGAAATTCATATTCAGAATCGTACACTAATTGTATATATAAAGTTGTTGTCATTTAATGAAAATTCAGATTTTCTCTACAATTTTATTGTTTCAATCTTCTAACATCTAGCTCTAAATTTGAACCTTTTGTTCTACTCCCAATAAGAAACATCATGGAGTCATTATGGTAATTATTCTGGGAGCTAAACTAATGAAAGCGTAACAAATTTATTCAAACAAATTTTGATGATTAATCAAGTTACCAACCAAATTAAGCAAAAGTTTGACAGAATAAGTAAAAGAAGAGAAGTATTTTCAACAAGGTAAACGAGAAATGATTTTAGATGCTTATTATATGAATATTCAAGTATTATTGTTATTAAATATCATATATATAAAAAAAATCAAAAAGCGTAAGACAGTGAAGGCCATAGAGCACCAATTGGAAGCCATCAGAAATCACATGTCAGTTAAGCAAAGGTCCCATTGTGTTAATTAAGCTAAATTCATGATAGTGGTTAATAAATATAATGAAGAGATCTCTAATTCAATTACAAATATTCTACAGGGCGGTGCCGGCCAACCACTAAGCAGCAGATGTCGCCCTCCTGCATGCCATATAAACTTTCCTGCTAAGTCTTGACCAAGTGTACAATAAACAACAAAAAGAAAATCAAACAAAATCTAAGTAAAAGAAAATAACAAGGGAAAGGAATATTTGTCTCTTTGAAATTAAGTACAAGTGCTTTCCGATTTGACTAGCAGGTTGAACCATTAACGACTACAGCAATCATCTGGTCATCGACAATAAAGCTCTCCCTACTTGGAAAATGAATTAATTAAGTTTATTATTGGAGAAAAGGAAATTTTATAAATCGCAATTAAAGACTAAATTAAGTTGACTTAGGCTGCTCCAATTATCAGGATTGCCTCCTGTAAAAATTCTTCCAATACTGATAGTAAGAGCCTTCGTTTTTTAGTGTATAGTGGCATATTCATCACGCTGACATAATTGATTACCCCGCCCCTTTGTTAGTTTCATTGTTTCCATGGTAACCAAAAACCTGAAACAATTAATATCCTGAAAGCCGCCGGCAAAAAGGAGAAGATTTCACATAATTTTAACAGTTCCATTGTTTTAGTTTCATCGATGCATGTAGGATATATATAAGTATGAATCATTATCATTCACATTCAAATAAATAGTATTTTAATTAACCAATTAGTGGATATATATATAAGAATTCTAGGTGGCGGTGCCGCCTTCATGCAGAAGTGACATTATCCCTTTCAGGTCGTTTGTTCAAGAAATATTGTATTACTGAAAATATAAGATTACTAGTGAGATAAATTAACTTAAAGATTAAAGGGAATGTTTTATAATATATGTTTGATTAGATTGGTGGGTATAAATAATTAATATGTTTGGTTAGGAGGAATAAAAGAATTATGGGAGACCATTTTACTAAATTGGCCTTTTTTTTAATTATTATTATAATATTATTTAAATTATCTGATCGTCTCCAGCCATTGATCTAGCCGAAAAAAGCCAAATTGGTGCACGGCTAGCCAGATCCGACTGGTCATATCTCATTTCGACGATTGCTGTCGACAGTTGGCAGTCGCTTGAATGACTAGAGGTATTTTGTTATATTTTAAACTTTTATTTTGGCATGGTGTTTTAGCCAAATTCTCAAATGTTACGGGGTTACAAAAGCCATTTTGCACATAATTAGGCTAATTGTTATTTGACATACGTATGAGGGGGCGTTTGGTTGGCAGTAATGTGAGATTATTGGGGTAATGTCATCTTATATTACTTGATTACCACGTTTAGTTGTCAAGTAATATAAGATTCTAGTAATCTTCAAATACCAATAGTAGTTACTATTGGTAATACTGGAGGTAATTTTATTACCTCCATTTTCTTAGGTATTCTAAGATTACCAAGGTTATCTTTTTTTATTATAATTTTATCCCTTATTAATAAAAGTTTTGGACAATAATGCCCTCATTTAAAAATAAATTTACATTAATATCCTGTTTCAATTTTACCCTTATTTAACTAAAATTTTGGACAATAATGTCCTTATATTTAAAACAATTTACAGACCACCACTGCCACTCAGCCACCACCACCACTGCCACCTAGCGACCACCGTCGACAGCGGCCAACCACCACGAACCGTCGCTGAAAAGTCGCCGGAGTCCCTAAAAAAGAACGAGATTCGGTGGGAGGCTTCGATATGGCCATTTTCGGCCATCAATATGGCCAGAAAACGGCCATATCGGAGCCTTTTGGTCACGGGGACTTTCGGAGCTTCCGACGGTGGTTTGCGATGGCGGCAGGCGACGGCAGGAGGTGGGGGTGATTTCATAATAAATTAAAGTTTTATATAAGCGGGGGTGTTTTAACTAAATTTGAAATATTGGGGGTTAAAAGAAATTATTCAAAAATTAATAATAAAAATAATATTATATTAATATTTGAAAAGGGGACAATTTAGTAATTTAAATAACATACCCACCAATTTATTCCCCATAACCAAACATATTAATATAACATATCCACTAACTAACCAAACACATTTTCCTAAAGATTCTCAGTAATCTTCCAAGGTAATCTATCTTTCCAGTAATTCAACATTCTCAGTAATCTAACATTCCTGAATCAAACGCCTCCTGAGGGCATTTGTGTTCAAAAAATCGAAATGTTAATTAACTAAAAGTAAAATGAGAATAAAAATTAGATTACCCTGATAATCTTAAAATAACACAATTTCACTCAGTAATTGGATTACTCCCAATTTTGCTAATAAACACTATTTATATTGAAAGATTACCGAAATCTTTAATTATCTAAAAACCAAACATGATAATATCCCATTTTTTAGATAGATAACCAGCATCATCTTCTATTACCCCTAAGCAGACGGGTGTAAAAGTCTTGAAGCAACAAAACAACAAAAGGACAAAGGGAATGTTGAAAGAAAAGTAAAAGAAAATCTACGGCTACGAAATTCAAAAAGTGAAAAGAATATGTCTGTTTTTCAAACTACAATATTGCTTTAAGACCACAACTACTATGAAGAATTAAATTCTCCGGTAAATATGAATATTAAAGTCACTATAAATTTACTTTTTTCTTTTTTACATGGAAAGTTACAACTCTGATTTCCCCTACAAGAGAAAATAACCATGTAAATAAGAGGTAAACCATACATGGTGGAAGTATATTAGAATACTATTGTGGACAACCACTCCAAAATTTGCTCATTTGTTTAAATTAATTATTGACTTGTATAAATATAAAGCCTTAGAGGATGAGGTGAATGGGGTTTCTGTTAAAGTTAGTTGTCGTTTTCTTATAGAATTTCCAAAAGAGCTGCTGAGTTTTCTACCCCCACTACTTCATTTACAACCACATAAAATATATTGGGTGCAGGCATGCGTGTTGACAACAGTACATTAATTATTCACCATCTTCAACTATACGAGAGAGAGATTGATGATTATTGGATGAAACATCTTTCTGTTTTGTATCATTATAGTAGATTGAAATATATTTAACCTTCCTGGAAATGGGCTCCACTTGTTGCTCGACCGAACGGCACTGACACAGGGAACCAAGCAAAACGTGTAAAATTTGATAGAGATTGAAGATGAAGATCACAACTAGCGTTATTCAATTTCCAATTTGCATTTAACCAACCTTTCAATTCAAAATCAAATTCAGAGATTTGAAGAACATGGAAAATGAAGAGAATTAATAAATCACATCACGCAAGTATACTGCTATAACAAATAGTCAATGTTGATATTATTTTGGGTTGCAACTGAAAGCTCATCTCCTTTTATTCCATAGCAATGCGGTGGGTCTTCCACTCTGAATGCGCTCCTCATCCCTTTCAAACCCACTGAGTTACGCGTATTTTCCTAACAGTTACAAAGATAAAATAAGAAGAACTAAAGAAAATACATCAAAATGAGAAGAATTTTGATCGAGAAAACAATCAAAGAATTGCATCGGTAAAGATACTGTATATGGACTTCATTTCCTACGGCAGTAGAAGTCTAAGCAGTACATAACAGTTTCTTGTGGTGTAGAAATGGCAATCTGTTTTACAAATAATTAACTGCTTATATATGAATTTAATCTAAGTTAAATTCATTAATTGTGTATTAAGTAATCTGTTTTACAAGGTATTTATTATTTTAAATTTATTTAAGAGAATAAATTTGAGGCCGTATCAACTGATTTGACTCAAATGTGACTCAGTGAGTTTATGATACCATCAATGACGATTGATAAAGAATTTCCCAACTGCAGTTTACTCTTTACCAAAGTGTCAAACACAATGGGGTCCAAAGAGAGATGGGTGGGGCAATTGTGTAATATTTGTACATTTAGAGGGCATACTCAGAATCCTCAATCCTATAAATACTCCCACTCCCACTCCCACCATAACCATTCTTCCCTTATTATAAATCCAATTTCATCATAAACGTTATTTAATTGCACTGCTAAAACCTGTGGCCATGGGGAATTGCCTAGTTCACCAAGAAAAGATGATAAAGGTGATGAGATCTGATGGAAAAGTTCTGGAATATAAATCACCCATCAAAGTGGAGGACGTTTTGTCAGAATTTTCGGGGCATTCACTCTCCGATTCGCTTCCAGAAATCAGGAAACTGAGGCCGGATGTTAAACTTGTTGGTGGGAACTTGTACTTTCTAGTACCAAAAGTTGAGAAAAAGAAGGTGAGGTTTTCGGATCAGAAGGCGGCCGGAGATGGGCAAGGAACCGCCGGTATTGTGAGAATAAAGATGGTTATCAGTAAGCAAGAATTGCAGGAGCTGATGCAAAAGGGAGGAGTTTCAGTTGAGGATATGATTTCTCAAAAAAAAAATGAAGCTGAATACAGCCAAGTGTGGAAGCCGGAGTTAGAAAGCATACCAGAAGTAGACTAGTAATTAAAAAATAGTTAGTATAATCAAAATCAAATGATAGATACTGGCAAAAAGCCATAAACATAGTTTAGTTATGACTAGATCTGTAACAAAGATTTAATACAAAAAACTGTTTGGTTTGTTGGATGTCTCTATGAAAATCTGTATATTGTTATACGTATTGTTGTCAAAACTGATGAGCTCAAAGAAGCAATAAATGGTGCAAGAGTAGTTTTTATTATATGCACTTCAGGCTTCAGAATCAGGTGGACTGAGTAATAGGAAAGGTCTGAAAAGGAAAGCAGGCCCGATTAGTAATTTTCAGTAAATAAAATCTCTTATTCATGGAAATTATATTAAATAACCCTTTTTGGTAACCAAAAAATGACCGATAAAGTATCTTGATTTAACCAGTACTGAAATTTTGGTATAGTGCTATTTCCCAATATGTTTTCAGAAATGTAATTAATTATCTTAAGATTAGGGATGGTGGTGGTGGTGGTACTGTTGATTATTAATAGGCACTAAATATGTGATGAGAGTGAGACAAGTCAACTTGAATCCAGTAAAATTGCAAATACATCATGCTTAATTAATTCTTTCTGCCTTCGGCGTGACTCAAGTATATCTTACAATAGCATAAACTTTTGTATATCTCTCGGACAAATTTATCATCATTATTATTATTTTTTTAATGATCGGAGTGTCAGGGCCAATTTACGTATATTTCAACTAATCTCCGATGCCATTTAAACACCTTATAAACCCAATGTTTCAAGATAAGCCATAAATATGAAAAGTAACCTCAATGTAATTCAAACCAGGAAGTCAATAAAAGAAACAAACCTTGTTGACCGTCAAGCCAATCATTTAAGGTTCAACAAATTTAATTTTCTATGTATTATTAGCATTTTTTAATAATTCAATTTTAATTAAGACTAAAATCGTGAAAAGAATAGAGTGAGGACACAAATAGAATATGATGTCGAATTCCCCCCTACTTGACATGGAATAGAGTGAGAACACAAATAGAATATGATGTCCAATTCCCCACCACTTGACATGCATGTTGCTTGCAACGGGCTGACTAAAGATTTCCAATCTAAAATCATTTAAACACTCAATTTATATTCACCAATAATATCAAGTTTCATAATTTAAAGCTCCAATAACAAATGGAAACACTTTCTTCTATTTTAAATTACATTCATATTGTAATGGTTTGGAGGCTCCAATTTGACACAAGTTGATGGAAAATAATGATCAAACCTATGAGAATAACACCAACCCATACATCTATTACTCATTAAGTTCAAATAAAATACATTTCCTGTTTATTTTTAGCCTAATTTTAATTATTAAAGGTGGGAAAACAACATTATCTAGAGACAAAATCTCTAAATTAAGATATATCTTATGCTTTTTAATAAATAAATAAAACATGTGAATAATATTTTTTTTTTACCATTTGACTTATGACAATATCAGTAGAGTAGAATTGTAACTGTAAAAGATAATAATATTTTTACAATTGACTTATAACATCCGTAGACTGGAAACATTCAACAATGTTTTGTAAAAAGGTATTACTACCCTCGACACAATTATTTACAAAGAATTTTACATGTTCTATTTGTACACTTCAATGTATAAACTAAAATAGAATTTTGTATGTTCTATTTGTACCAATGTTTTAAAACCCAGCCCAGCCGCCAATTCAACCGTATTGGAATGAAGGTAGAAGAATTCCCAAGATATCTGGGTTGTGTTTGTAATAAAACAAAACTTAGTGGAAAACAGTGTGTTTTACTATGTATTCAATATATATAAACATTGCTACCATGTAATAGTTTTTCAGTTAGAAAAATCAAAAGAAGAAAATTCCCAATTCTCTCTCGCCTTCACTTAGAATTTTTTCTTTGTTCTTGTTCTTTATTTTTCTTTTGTTAAACAAGAATCTTCATGGTATTAGAGCCTCGACAAACGTCAATGGCTACTTCGATTCCTGAAACTTCAAATGTCAGCTTGAAGATGGAGATTGAGCAAAATGGGAATGCAAGCACATCAAGCTCAGGAGATCACTCTTTCCTTCCAACACTCTCTGTTAAACTTGTACAGAAGAACTATGGATACTAGAGGTCCCAAGTTCTTCATGTTCTTGTTTCACACGATCTTGATGGCTTCGTTAATGGTGAGAATATCTGTCCCCCTATGTTTCTAATTGAGAAATCGGTTGAGACTGAAGAGTTAGTAAAAAAACAAAACCCTAGGTATTTCAATTGGAAGAGAACATACCAATTTTTAGTGAGCTGGTTGTTTTCGTCAATCTCAGAGTCTATGTTTCGACATGTGGCCAAATGCACTAGCTCTTATGAAATATGGAATACACTGGATCTTCATTTTCAGTCTTTTTCGAAAGCTAGGACATTACATTTGATAAATCTTTTACAGACCACAAAGTAGGAATCTTTGAGTGTTAATGAATATGTCTTGAAAATGAAAGAGTTGGGACATGGATTGGTTGATAGTGGAGTCAAGCTTAGTGAAGAATTGCTACTATATATACTTGATGGTCTAGGACCAGAGTATGATGCAGTGGTAGCTAGTTTGACATAAAATAGTAAAGATGCAACACTTCAAGAAGCTCAGCTTATGCTTCACAAGCATGAATTGAGATTGGCAAGACAATCAAGTGCATTGACTAATTTTCATGAGCAATTCACTTTTGCACTAATTACTTCAAAAACAAGGGCCTGTCAGTTCTTCTCCATATGTGCCATCTAACACATCAGGGACTGTCTTTCCAAATATCACACACATAGCAAACACAGGATCCTTAAATTATCAAACTCATGAAGTTTACTCTCAGCCACAAGGCAGTAGTGTTGGTTCTGCAACTCAAACGTTTCCCTAGTCGACAGAAGGAATCTTGAATTTGGGAAATGGTGACAATTACGAAGAAATCTTAGAGCTCCTTATCATGTTGGTCTTCCTCAGGCCTATTCTACTGGTCCTTCTCAGGTCTTTTATAACAATATGGTGAGAGGCAGAGGTAGAGGACACGACTACTTTAAACCAAAGTTGATATGCCAAGTCTGCGGGAAAACAGGCCATTCTACCCCCAATGATATCATCGTTTTGCTCAAGAATATCAGGGGTTTAACTCACATACCTACAACCAATTAGTACATCCAGTTGTCTATAATCCCTCGGTCAACCCACAAACCAACCTATCTGGAATCTCCAATGAACCTGCTGCTCTTTTTGCTTACAACCATTTACCTAACACCTACTTTAACAATCCTTATCCTGGTAATCATCCATCAAATCCCTGTTTTAACAACTCATATCCTGGTCTTTATAATGCTTCAGTCACTACTCCTACTAATCTGACTCATGGTTCTCCTTATGCTCTGAATGACATTTCTCAATGCTCTTATGGAACTTCACCTATGCATACAAATAAATGACCATTTCATAATACCTCTGCTCCTAATGACATTTCTCAATGCTCATATGGAACTTCACCTATGCATACAAATAAAGGACCATTTCCTAATACCTCATCAGCCTCCGTAAACTCTTTTCAATCAACCATTGCCACTCCAAAAATTGTCCATGATCATTCCTAGTACATGGATTCTGGTACATCACACCACATGATTGCAAATGCCTCCAACCTAACTCATGCAGCCAGTTATCCAAGGAACTCTAAGGTTCAAGTGTGCAATGGAGAGTCTATACCTATTACTCATACAAGTATACTACTTGTTCCCTCTTATGATTCACGTAGAATTATTCAGCTTAGAAGAATACTATGTGTTTCAAAAATTGCTAAAAATCTTTTGAGTATTTCCCAAATAACTAAGGATAATAATGTCATTGTGGAGTTTCACTCTTATCGTTGCTTGGTAAAGGATAAAAACAGCCAAGTTGTGTTACTACAAGAAGCAATGAAAGACGGTCTTTATCAGTTAGACCTTCCTAGTAATATCTCTCTGCAATATATACTCAACTGCACCTACCTCATATACTTCGTCACAAGCAGCTCAACCTGTTGCTACTAACTCTGCAACTAGGGTTCATCATCTCACTAAGCATTCTGGTGTTGAACAACCTATATCTAAAAGTTGTGTTTCTGGTTCAGAAGGACTTCAAACTTTTACCACTACTGTTTCTAGTACCTCTAAATCTAGTATTAGTTCTAAGTGTAATAGCTACAATGTATCTTTTAATTATTCCATGTTATGGCATGCAAGATTGGGACATTCAAATGTTAAGATTCTTCATGTTGTACTAAATAAATTGAATGTAAAGAACTCTCTTTCCAGCAATAAAAGGTTTTTCTGTGAGGCTTGTTAGTATGGTAAATTATAGCAATGTACTTTTCCCTCTTCTTCCTCTAGAGCAGCAGCTCCATTAGATTTAATCCACTCTAATCTTTGGGGACTTGCTCCATTTCTTTCACATGAGGGTTATAAGTATTACATTATTTTCGTTGATGACTTTAGTGGGTACACTTGGATTTATCCTTTAAGACAAAAATCAGAAGCATACACCGTGTTTGTTCAGTTTCATAGCTTTATAGAGAGACAGCTAGGTGTAAAAATAAAGTGCTTGCAAACCGATTGGGGTGGAGAATTCAAGTCCTTTACTAGATACTTACAACAGCATGGTATTATGTTTCGAAATTCATGTCCATACCTTCACCAACAAATTGCTCGAGTGGAAAGAAAACATAAGGCTATTACAAAATATGGGTTATCTCTTTTGGCTCATGCTGGTATGCCATTGAAGTATTGGTAGGCTGGCTTTAGCACAGCCACATATCTCTTAAACGGATTACCATCCACTACACTAGAGTTTGTATCACCTTGTTATGTTTTGCTTTATCAAGAACCCAATTATAAAGAACTTGAGGTATTTGGATGCAGCAGCTATCCATATCTTCGACCCTTTCAGAAAACAAGTTTTCTTTCCATATAGAAAAATGTGCCTTCATTGCTTATAGTTTAGCACACAAGGGATATCAATGTTTATCATCATCCGTTAGGGTGTATATTGCCAAGCGAGGTTTAATGAAGAAGATTTCCCAGTTAAGTCTAGTTTTCATATAGGAAGTAATGCAGATTTTGTTC